TGTCATTAAACCTCTCGAATATATAATAAAAATGACAATCATATTATAAATAATATACCGAATTTGTATATGATATTTGATACAACCATAAACGAATAAACTTAAAAAATTCAGTGAAATGTTACCGAATTCTTTTATTATAACGAATTGTGATCTCCGAAAATGAAGATTCGTTATAGATCACTTCGACTGTAAATAAATTAATAATATGGATTTTAAAACTTCAAAAAATCATATTTTAACACATTTTATATGCAATTATTAGTTATAAAAACAAATATGTAAAGTTTTTAATAAAACTTATTTTAAATATTGAATAAATAGATAAAAAAGATATTACTTTTTAGAATTTGTTTAGAAATACAATTAAAATTATTTTTTATATTTTAAAAAATCAAAATTTATTTTATTTTAATAAAAAAAAGTTAATTAAAACAGATTTATTATAAATAAAAGTTTTTCTTAAGATAATATAGGATTTTTACATAGAAAAAAAAAGGAAACTTCTAGAAAAAAATTCAATTTTATTTTTTATATATCAAATATGATTTTTAGATTATTTTTTATAACTATTTCCTCTTATCTATTGCAAAGATCTCATATTATTATTTAAAAAATGATATAATTAAATTGCAATTAAATTTATAATTATATTATTAATTAAATATTTAAAATTAATTAAAAGATTATTTTAATTTTTTTATTTAATTTATTTCTTTATATTCATATAATTTATAATTATATAAAAAATATAAATTCAGATTATATAATATATATATGATTTTTATGTATTAAATTTAAAATAGCTTATAAAAAAAAAATACAAAAATAAAATTTTGCAAAACTGTAAAAATTGATACTTTTTGACATTCAGAACTAAGGTTATTAGGTAAAATCTAAATGCTTTGCAAGTCGTTTAAATAGTAAAAAGTAAATTTAACAAAAATATATTAAAATCTTATTAAAAAATCTGCGAAACTCTAAAAAGATAAAATTATATCAAAGTTTATAAAAATGTAAAATTATATCAAAACCTTAATAAAAAATTAGCAAAATTAAAGTTTAGTTTTGTTAAATATAAAATGAGTTTAGATAAGCAATCTTATTTAGAATGTAAAATTCTTACAAATTGCAAAATTAACGCTTTTAACGTTCAGAGCGTTAAAATTCTTACAAAATTGCAAAATTGATATTTAGGACATTAAATTCTTATAAAATTGCACATCCTGAATGTTGATGTCAATTTTTGCTATTTTGCAAAAATTTTAATATTTCAAACATTAAAAATGTCAATTTTGTAAGAATTTGAACATTCTGAATATAAAAAACCAATTTTTTTTTAATTTTGTAATAAATTGAACACCCCAAATGTTAAAGGCGTTAATTTTGCATTTTGCAAATAAACTTTAGCAAAAGTTTTTAGTGCGACATACAATTTTGAAATGTATCGCTTGAACTTTACTAATAAGATGCAATATCAAAACCTAAATATTTTTATAATTATAAAGTTAACATAACGATAAAAAATATGTAAACGTTCTGATTAAATATTTTAAATAAGATTGATTATCTTACCGTTATCTTTTATCTATAGCAATATATACTTTAACATTTGCATATAAATGCTTTTCAAATCGTCATCTGATAATGCTATCCAACTGCCAAGACACCCAACATAAAACTCCATTTGGTCTACACCATTTATAACGGAATTTGCCTTCACCACCCACAAAACAAATCAACCTCATTAATAAAATAATATCAGGCTTAATCTCATAACGATAAGCAATTAATGAAAGGTTTTTAACTTTTCTGACAGAATATTCTTTGAATTGTCAACGATATTAGCTCTTCCTTAACGTTAGCATTTTGAAATAGAATTCATGAAAATTATCACTACAACACCATTTGTAGTAAATTGAATATAAGTATTTTTTAATATATTGCCTTATATAAACCCTTAAATTCAAACTCACTACAATATATATAGTCCGCAAAGTGTTCCTACTTTCCAGTAACAGACACTTTTCATTCTCGCCATAAAAATAATTACGATAAATTTTGAACTTTTTGAAGGAAGATCGTTTTAAGGTTTTGACTATTATGATATTTATTGTACTATTTATTTTAAAATACAACTTAAGGGTATATTTTTTCTTAATAGTGTAGGCATAGTTATTTTGTTACATTCTTGTAAAAAATGAAACGAAGTTACGCTATTTTTGCTTTTTTTCGATTTTTTATATGAAAAAATGTGTTTTTTACATCGGTCGATCATGCCGATCCCTTGTTAAAAAAAATAAATCTCAATTTTTGGGGACAATTCATTTTCATTCGAAAAATTATATGGCGCAGTAATTTTTGATTATAATCATGATTTGCAAAATTTTCGCATTTTTGATCTACCAAAAATGCCAAAGGTCAAATCTCAAAAATTTGGATATTCTCATGAACGCAAAGTAAATAATGTCGGCAATGGTAATAAGAGCTCTGAAGCTGCTCGGTCTCTTGCACCTTTATTTAATAAAGATTTAGGTCAACATATTTTAAAGAACCCACTTGTCGCCCAAGGAATAGTTGAAAAGGTATTCTATTCCTCACATTTTTTTTTTTTTGTATTGGGAATATATAGTTTTTCTTCTTAACTCGGATCTTAAAAATTTTAAGGCAGGCTTAAAAAGTACAGATACGGTACTTGAAGTAGGTCCTGGTACTGGAAATTTAACGGTTCGAATTTTAGAAACAGCAAAAAAAGTTATTGCTGTAGAAATGGACCCAAGATTATCCGCTGAACTTTCCAAACGTGTTCAGGGAAAGTATGTGATGGTTTTCATTCGAAATTATGTGCATTGAATAATTTCAACCCATTAAACATTGTAAATTTTTTTTTTATTTATAAAGACCCGAACAAAAACGGTTGAATATAATGGTTGGAGATTTTCTTAAAACGGATTTACCATATTTTGATGTTTGTATAAGTAATACGCCTTATCAGGTATGATTAGACGAAAAAATGTGATTTATAATTTCATTATTATAATTTCAATTAAAATATATCGATATACTTTTTAGATTTCATCGCCGTTAGTATTTAAACTTCTCGAGCATCGACCATTATTTCGATGTGCTATATTGATGTTTCAACGCGAGTTCGCTATGAGATTAATAGCCAAACCCGGAGATAATTTATATTGTAGGTTAAGTGTAAACGTACAATTATATGCAAAAGTAGATCACATAATGAAGGTAATTACAAGACCTTTATATTTTAAATGATTGAATTGAATTTTATGGAATTTATTTACAACAGGTTGGAAGAAATAATTTCAAGCCTCCACCGCAAGTCGAATCATCAGTAGTTCGAATCGAACCACGTAATCCTCCGCCGCCGATTTCTTTCAAAGAATGGGATGGATTAATGCGAATTATTTTTGTTAGGAAAAACAAGGTTTCTACAATAAAACACTACTTTTAAACATTAATCTTTGAATTTTTATTAACATTATATATCTTCCTCATTAGACGCTGGCAGCAAGCTTTAAAACTACTTCGGTCTTGCAAATAATTGAAAATAATTACAAGACATTTTGTTCTACAAATGACATGGTTAATATTATTTTTATTTATCTATTATTTCTTCAAATCTTCCGATGAGAATTCACCAATTTTTTTGTATAGATGATAGAGGATACTTTAAATATAAAAGCAAAGGTCATTAGTGTATTACAATCAGTCAATATGGCAGAATCTAGAGCATCGAAATTGGATATTGATGATTTTCTTAAGTATGTTTTTTTTTTTCGCTATTTCAAGAAAAAAAAAAAAATTTTATTTTAACGAAGGTTATTTCATGTCTAGACTTCTTTACGCGTTTAATCAGGCAAACATTCACTTTTGTTAACATTATTATTGAGGTACGAATGTCTTTATTAAAGTAAAAGCAAAAAAAATTTTGTCAAATAAAAAACTAATTAAATTAATTATCTTCAATAATATTTGTCATTATTATACATAGTACAGTATATATATATTTTATTTAACCACAAATTTAAATTAAAAGAAAATTTTTCTTTTTCCCTTTAAAACGAATGAATAACTAAAATTTAATTATAATATTGATTAGCTTCTATATTTTTAGCGAGCTCAGGTTCCCATTTATCACCATTTGCTAGTAATTTCTCCTTATTATATAATAATTCTTCATGTGTCTCTGTAGAATATTCGAAATTAGGTCCTTCCACGATTGCATCAACAGGGCATGCCTCCTATAATACAAAATTAAAAATTAAAATTTTATAAACCAAAAAACATAATAAATTTTATTTATTACCTGACAAAATCCACAATAACTATAAAGAAAATTAGATAATGGGATTAGAAAAAGTGATTTATCATTAATCACATTAATAGATTACTTACATGCACTTTGTCATGTCAATGTCATATCGGGTTGTACGACGACTTCCATCATCTCTAACTTCAGCTTCGATAGTAATTGCAAGTGCAGGACAAACTACCTCGCAAAGTTTACAGGCAATACATCTAAACAAAAATATTTATAAATTAATTTTGTTTTATAAAATATTTTAGAATAAAATTAAATTTATAAAATTTACCTCTCTTCACCTTTAGATTAATAATAATAATAATAATAAAAAAGGTTAAAAAATAAATATAAAAAGAAACTCGATCAACTATTCATTTGATACTTACCTGTAGGATACCTTCTCAATGCATGTTCCCCTCTAAACCGAGGACTCAATGCGCCTTTTTCATAAGGATAAAAAATAGTATAAGGATGTCTAAAAAATTGTTCAAGAACTAACCACATTCCTCTTAAAATTTCAGTAACTAAAAATAAATTTGCTGTGTTATCAAGTATTGTTGGCGCTTTTTGTTTTGGAGGTTTTGGAATCCTTGGGCTTGGTGGCGTTGGAGGATTATTAATCTGTTCAATGACTTTACGTTGAAATGGTGTATTGGAAAAGTTACGGGATATTTGGGAAACTACTGGAAAGAGAGTTGGTCGTAGGCCTAGAATTCAAATTAATAAAAATTTTTTTGCCATTCAAGATCCCAATCGATCTTTGATTGTCATGAAAAAAAAAATATTATTTACCGGCTGCTAACGAAGTTCTTGGAATACCATGAAGGGTTCTTTTGGTGAAGTTATTAAGTCGAAACATTTTCAAAAGATCTCGAAAAACAAAAATGATTTTTTTAAAAAAAATGATCTATTTATTTCAAATGTTTGGTATCACCGAAAAAAATCTTGTCCAAATTAGTAAGTCTACAAACATTATGTAACGTGTGAAAAATTAATTTATATTTTTCCGTAACGACGACAAAAATTGAGAATTAAATAAAATTAATGATTATCAAATAATAGTTCATTTAAATAAATAACTCCCAACCCCACTTCTTATTTACAGATTAATAATAGTCTTGATTAGAAATTTTTTTTTTTTTTTTTTTTTAGACTTTCATTATCCATCTCCCATTAACTCCTTACACGCCTCGTACGTTACAAAACTCACACCAATCGCTGGTGCAACTTTTAAATAATTAGGACCCATTCCCTTGTATAATCCTCTAACACCTTCTTGAACGATTAACTTTTTCAATGCATCCCATGTTCCTTTATATTTATATGGGACACCCGGCATCCCTGTTACTTGCATTCTTCGTCGCAATACGTCCAAAGGGTATGTTATCGTTTGAGCAAACGTTCCTGCGATGGCACCGCACATAAGTTTTTGCGCAACTGGAGGAGACGTTTGATCCTTTGGTGTAAAATATTTACGTAGCACTTCATAGGAATGAAAATTTAGCGCTACATACGGGGCTACACCCTACAAAATCGGTTCATTACAACTATTAAAAACACAAAATAAATCTATAAAGAATAAAATCATGTCGAATCCAGTACAGAAATTAAAATAAAATTTTACCATCAGAGTTGGTGATAATCCACGATATAATGCTACGATACCACCCTCCGTATGATAAATAATTTTCATTGTTTGCCAGATACCTGGTAATTTTTTATTCATTTCTTTAACGGACAGACTTGCCGATTGTACTGATAGCCTCGTGCGTATTATATCAAGTGGATACGTACATGCGACAGACGTTATACCGGCTAATGCACCTGCTGTAAGACGACGTGGTGCATCAAGTTCACTCTTTCCATCTTCTATAAGAAGCTTTAAACAAAATTAAAAGAAAATTAATTTGATGAATGCGATCCTTCAATGAATTTTGTCATCAATATACCTACCCTTTTATATTTTTCATAAGATGCGAATTGTGTGGCACTATATGGTACAATCCTTATTACATTTGTGCCATTGCCTCTCAACATACCAATCCATCTTTCTTCTCGCCACATTTTTACAATTGTGGGTATTATTCCACGATATGAAGCTGGCTCTGGTCCTTGTATCTAATATTTTATATACGCGTATATATAAAAAAAAGAAGAAAAAAAAAAAAGGATCTAATATTGAATGGTCCAAATAAATCTAAATACTTTTGAAAAAAATGGGTTCGGCTAATTTTAAAGGTTACTATACGCACTTGAAATAAAATTTTCATCCTTTCCAGAGGGCTGACTACTGTTCTGCTTACTGCTCCCGCTACACCACCTGCGATCAAATGTTTTATTGCTGGTGTAAATATAAATGATGTCCAACTCCTATGAGAAAGTTGGGAATCTGCATCTTGTGTCTTTAAAGTTGCTGAGCTACTTTCTGGTACACTCGAAATCCATTTGATTACTTGTGAGCCAAAAGGTTTATCTTTCGATAATTGATCTGAACTCACAGAAACAATATCCCTTTCGTTATGCTCCTCATTATTGGAATGGAAACACATATTAATGGGACCCGAAATTTCTGCTTTACCAGAAAAACCCGGCATAAAAGCAGAATTTATGTTTTTTTAGCAAATCCGCAGCAACCCTAATCATCCAATAGTACTTGAAAAGATGAACGTTTATTTAACCAGTTCTTTTTTTTCAGTTACTGGGTAATGTGATACAAGAGCTTGTGAGCTTGGAAAGGTCGTGGTATTACAATAAAATCATTTCTGCGAATCATAAAAATTATTTTGTATTACAAAGATTTTAGGGATTAAAATTTAGTTATATAAATTATAATATGAAATTAATTTCTTAATTTAGCATAATTTTATCTATATTTCTATATAATTAAATTGATTTATTATTTAACTTTTTAAATTTTTCTTAATTTTTTAAAGAATATTTTCTTTATTACTAATTTGATAAATTTTTATCTTTTAAGTTTAAAAGAATGTTTTAATAAAATAAATATTATCACTATAAATATTAATTTCATTTGTAATTAGAAAAAAATATTTTTATTTATCATAAAAAATAGGCAAAATCAGAATACTCTTTTTATTAATTTTTTAATATAAGCCAATTTGAAATAAATGTTTAGCTAATTGATATAATTTGAAATAAATAAGAATTTATATTTTATAAGATAAATTCTGATTATAATAAAAATAAAATTTTTCAAATATTTATTTATATAAAAACATATTATAATATCTTTTTAATATAAGTCTAATTAAAAATAACTGAATTAAATGTTAAATAACAAAATTATTATACCATTATAATATCATATTATGAAGGTTTTTTTATTTGTTTGAATACGCCTAATTCTAAATTCTGAATGTGTGAATATATAAAACAATCAATTATTTTATAATAAGTGAACAAATAGAATGAGAATTTGATATATCTGTATTATACTATCTCAATGATCCTTTTTGTGCCTTCAATATCTTCAATATTAATATCTTTTAGCATCTTTTTTACAAGTTTTTTATTATCTGAAGCAATTTGTGACAAAAATCAGAGATCCTCAATATCACTTATCATATTAATATTTTAGGTTAACGAAAGATTGCAAGTTCTAATAGTACAATAGAAATTTTATAAAAATTTTCTAGATGTTTTGATAGAAATATCTTTAATTTACTTTTAGTTATATACTTTTTATCAGGCTAACTAATAAAATAATTTACATACATTAAAATTTTATTAATTACATGTAATTGACATTGATAAATTACCAACTAGATTGCTATTTCAAAGTGTTCTTATTGTCCTCAATTTTTAAGTATTATTTTTTAAGTATCATTATAGAATTAGTTCTGCAAGAATATTAAATAAAAATTTTTGATAATGATCATGTGATACATAAAAATTTTACTGATTATCTGATTCAATTTAAACTTTTATTTTTTACATTCTCACAATTTTGACGATCATTTATCAATCATTTGTCAATTATTTATTTAATCTTATCACATAAAATAACCATTGTTATTGATCAATTTTACATAATAATATATGCTTAAAATTGCATTCATTAGAATCAAGTTCACAAATTCTTGTATTATTATTTGACATTTTACTAAATTCAATAATATTTAAAACTTAAACTAAAAATTAGTAAATCCATTTATATATATAATATAGTAATTAATTAACTAAATTCTCTATTGGTAAAAAAACTATATTATGAGCTAAAATCCTGTATTATTTTTTTGTAATTTAACATAAGCAAATAAATATTTATGCAAAGTTTTAAGTTTCAGTCTTGTATATTAAGTTTTAGCTATCAATTTTTGTGTGATGATCAGCTGAAATTCTAAATTATCACATATTTAATAATTAAACATATAAAAAAGTAAAAAAATATGATATAATTTAAAGATATAAAATAATGAAGTGTAACACTTTAATCCATTTATTTATTAATTTATTATATCATATGAAAGCATCTATAATAAATATAGAATTAGGGATTAGAAATTAAAAATAGTGATTAGAAATTAGGATTAAGATAGTGACTAGGATTAGATAAAAAATTAAGAATTAAGAATTAGAGATTAAGATTATAGATTAAAAATTAGAAATTAAAAATTAAAATTAGGTTTAAAATTAGTATTTAAAAATTCTAGAATAAAGATAATTGATTATATATTTTGAAATTATCTTAAAAATAGATATAATATAAGAAGATATACTTTATCATTAGAAAAATAAGCATACTTATTTATATTATTTAAATAAAAAGTATAATCTTGCTTAATATTTTTGTTAATTGCATTTGGATAGTAAGTATAATTTAAATTACAATTATATATTTATAAGTTATAAGATATATATATTATAACTTATTTATATTAATCATATAATATACACTACCTGGAAATAAGTTTGCGCAGTTTTGAAAAAATAGTAAATAAATTTGTGCAGTTTTGAAAAAATAGTTTA